TAATTTTCAAAACCACAAAGTAGGTCATTCAAGTCCATTAAATCTGCGAAATTAATAAAAAAAATTTATTGATTGTTTTTAAATCAGCTTTTTATATTAGTGTCTGGAACAATATATGTGGATTTGTTTTATATTCCAACAAATTTGAAAGCAGTACTTCTATTCTATTATGGGTTTGTTAATAACAATTAATACACTTAAATATCAAAACTTATCTACCACCTTTTATAGTTGAACTCAATTATTTCTTCAGAATGTTGAAAAAATCTGGAGTTTTATCTTCAAGAAACTGGTGCAGGTATTATTCATAACCCTCCTTTGCGATCGATTTTATGCCAACAAGAAAATATTACCGAGTGTGAAAAAAATTACGAACTAAGAGTAAAAAATCAGAATAATGTAGTGATTGCATTAAAGCTTAATAGTCATAATAGACCTTTGTCTTGATATTGATCCAATCACGCCTATTGCATATCACAGCTCGAGATTGGATCACGGATCGAGATTGTGTCACGACACATAATCATCTTACCCACAGGAGTTTTTATATATTTCAAATCCTCAATCCCCAATTCTGAGCTATATTCCAAAACTTATGTTTCGTATCTGCTCATATTTAAGCTCGTATTATAAGTCGAGATTAGCGCAAAATCTAAAGTACCAATTTTTTTCCTGATTGTTTCTGAATTTTCTGTTAAGCAGCATTATAATTGTATAATTAAAATTAATAGCAAAAATCGCGCACTAATCTATTCAATATCTTCTCTTAACTTTTCATATTAGTCATATTAATAATAATAATAGTCAAAAGCTACCTGACATTTTTAGATATTTTCTTTGGACCCAAAAAAATATTTCTTTAAAACTTTTATAATTTAAAAAATAAATTTTAAATGACAAGAGAACAATGCAAAATGGAGTCTGATGGGGATGTGAGAAGCGAGAATTTTCAAATCTCATGGTATCAACAATAGACTTCAGAATCTAGGTTTTTATGAGACACCAAACTAATAACTATCTAATCTAGTGTCTAATATATACAAGGCCAAGTCTTTAAATTATTCTGTGTTATTTCTACTATAAGTTAGTTATTGACTAACAAGAATCTATTATAATATAACTTTATTGCACTAAAGTTGAAATGATGCTTCCATGGGGTCTTATTGGCACAAGATCCCTAAAACTTATCTGCATTTATGAGATCATCAATATGCAAAAAACGTATACGACTACTTATAACTTTTATGACCAACACCTGGCACCGATTGTCTTTCATTTTAGTGTCATAAAAATATCTTATTTAATTCCTTTCAAAACATTCCTCTTATGAAAATAAATTAATTTGTGAAATTTGTTAAATAATTAACACTAATTAAATTTAAAAATTAAAATGGAAAAGTATTGTGCGTAATACTTAAAATTATTTTCCATAATTAAGATGAATAAGGATTTGATATTGTTTTAAATATCTCAAAATTAACAACATTAAATATGAAACAAAAATTTTTTTTGATTAGATTAATTATCGCGAAATTAATTTAAAAATTAGCAAAATTAAAAATTTGTTGTTTTGTTTATATAATGAAAAACCAGAGACTTTTTAGCAAGCAATTCATTTCAAAAACAAACACTATATGTAATCCGATATAGTATTTCTCAATTCCATTAAAAAAATTTTAAATTAAAATTTAGAATTAATTCTTTCAAATATTTATGACTAAAACTTAATTTAATATGACCGGGTTGCCAACTACCTCTTTAATTTACCAGTATTCTAATAAATTAATACTTACTACTAAATCATTTGGCTAAAATCAGTTTAATCGAACTATACTTCTGGATGTCTTGAATAGATCCTTTGCCAGAGTGTTTAGTTAATATTAAAAACGAATGGAATAACGTATATCTCCAGATTTAATACTAAAGTTCTGATGGAGAAAAATATTAGTGATATACCAATGTGCTTTTGTTATTATTCTAAGAACTTTTAACTACAGACGTTGAATAATGTCTTAATTTGACTCAACAGCTGAATACCACAATTGAATCCCATACATCTATATAGGTTTCATAATAGCTTTATGGAAAATGCAATACTTATCAATAGCAATGCTTATCAAACAGAGATCTTATTAATCAACGATGTAGCCGTTTACTTAAATAAACATGGGATAACTAATACTATTATGAATAAATATAAACCATGATAAATAAATATAAACCATGTTAAATATAGGATAGTCAGGCAGCCATCAAATCAAAAATCTCGATTGTACTAAAATCAAAGATTACCGGAACACAATGACATCGAATATAACTGTAGAGCTACTGAATTGGCCAGAAGTGTAGTGTTGTTCAGGAGACCAATAGATCTTAAATAAACTAAAATGCTTGTGTAACATAGTTTGCAACCATGGTCAGTACCTTAGTACCAAAATTGGTACTTTTTTTCCGTATTCGTTTAGAAAATAGTACTTTTTTGAGACGCGAACATTATTGTACATATTATTATATTATCCAATTAAATTTACTTATAGATTCAACTATGCACTAAGTAAATAATTTAATTTTATGTATTGATTTAGCAAAAAGTAAAACAAAATTTAGATAGGAATGGATTTTAAGACCTTAAATAATATTATGCTATGCAAAGAACTATTTGATAAAAAGATATGCATTATGTATGTCAGAAAAAGATAGTTCGATTATTTAGTTAATAAAATTGTTATGGATGAAAAGACTTCTAATGTTCTATATCATCCCACCATATAATATATGTTCTATTTTCTTATTAAAAGATAATAGAAAAAAAAGTGGACCTTTTTAAACCAATTTTGGTACAGAAAAAAAAAATTTTAAAGGGACAACCGTATATACATACAACAGTAAAAATTCTAAAATAATATTCCCTTTACAAATCAGTTTTTATAACTCTTTAATTCAACGAAAGCAAGCAGTTATATGACTTAAATATGTTTTATTTAGAATTCCATTTCGAACGCAACGAAACTTTTATGAAACTAATTTCGTATATTAAAAATACCTCAAATATTTAATGTGTACTTGTGGACAGAAATATTAAAAAATCATTAAACTAAATGAGAATTATAAAAACTTAATTGAATTAAAGTAATTTAACACTATAACCAGTGAAGAATGTGAGATTTGATTGTTTTTTTTTTTTGTTAATTTGAAGTTACAAATTTGGCACCTAATCCAATTCATTCAAGGTTATTTAGGCACTTTTACTGAAGAACACACTTATATAAAATATGATTTCATTTAAATCTTCATTAAAATATATCAAGCTACATTTGTACAGAAATCCTAGCATTATACTTATGCTAAGCAGTTTACGGTTTATATATATTTTAGACTATTTAGTACTTCGTAGTATTAATATAATAAATACTATTTTAGCAAACTTTTTTAATTTTTAAAATGCATATAACAATTGATTTTGAAATGTTTTGTTTTTCCTTAACCGGTGTTGATAGTAACATCCATTTCTTATTGTTATTTTACTCGATATTATCCAATACTTGCATATATAACAAAGAAATAATTCTTTATCAAAATATGTCTATATTAACCTAATATAACAGAGGTTATAATAATCCCCAAATTCGCAACTAAATAAATGGACTAAGCTTTTGTCATTTTGCTGTTGTGATTTTTGTTTAAATGTAGAAAGGATATACTCATATCCTTAATAAACTCATAGAGAGAATATGGCAGTTGTGTTTCAGGTTTACACAGAAGGCCATAGTGGCGGACTGCTCTTCATTCCATGAATTTCTTTTAATTCTGTTTATTAACAATATTTACAAAAGTTTGTGCCCAGATCATTTTGGCTTACTAGTCTAGTATATTGTAAGTATATTTTATTTGCAATCTGGTATTAAAGGTATTTTATATTAATAGTTCTTTAAAACACCTTCAGTACCCTGAATATAGATTCTAAAAGAACTTATCATTATCACATCTCAAATTCTTTTTCCACCGACTTTTTCGTTTTGCTCTGTACTTCTGTGTAAGGATTTGTAAAAGTATCCCGTATGGCAAACTCTCTCCCCATGTTCATGAACTTTCTTTTATAATCAGGCGTAAACAATTATGGAGTAAAAATTATACAGACAATCCCGAAATAGTATTTTTTATAATCCTCACTGCACAAGTTATGGAAATCCGCAGGAAAAAGAAACCATAATATATTTTCTCCATAAATGCCCTGGTTTGGCGTCCAGAAGAAATAGGTTTTTAGGAAGATACTACTTTGACAGTCTATCAGGCTGTTCATCGGTGATAAAGAGAGACCTATTAAATTAACTAAATTCGACGGGATGAATTTAGTGTCTACTTGTTTATACTAGGGGTTCTTGCTGGCAAAACGGCGGAAAATCGCTAATTGAGGTACATGGAAGTTATCCAATGTTCTACCGCTGCAATCAACCAACCATCCCGATTTAGAAAAATATGTGACTAAAAATATTTTAGTTTACAGGTGTTTTTGTCAAGACGGATATAAGGTACCAAGCAATTAACGAATATGTGCACTTAAGTACTTAATTAACTGACAGAGAATCGTATAAATTTTTTTTGTTGTAAAGCTAAAATTACAGCTTTGATAAAAACGTTAAGAGTCGTTTCCAGTCATAAAAAAACTGCTGAAAGAGTTCAAGGCATATCTAAACCAGCCTATATAATTTTTATACTATAAATTTTGTTCGATATCTCTTTAAGTTATTTTTAATAAGTACACGGCTATAGCTTTGTGTAATGAAATTGTGGAATTTATTTAGGAAATTTCTTAAATAAGAGAAATATAAAAAACTATATAGAGTTATCTTCCAACAAACTGCATATCTTGAAAGCTACTACCTAATAAATTAAAAACACTGTATTAATATTATACGGAATCTGAACATTTATTACAATATTTGCTAAAATATAATTTTGAATTTTTTCTAAATATATTAAAAATTTTTCCAAAACTTTTGCCAAATATTTCATCCAAAATAATTTTCATGATCAGATTGGTATACATCCGGATAAATTGAAAGCATGTAATTCATTAAAACTTTCTATACCATATTTTTTCATGCATAAAAATAGGTTTCTGCACACTAACATTAGTCAAAATCAAGGAAAGTAAAACATTTAATATGCCAAATTAAATCATGCTCAAGGTATAAAAGGAATCTTCATTATGTGAAATTTACAAAAAATCCAAATTAACTGCATCTGTTCATAATTTTTTTAAATGTATCTGGAACCTCTATATTCATCCAAGTTTACTTAAAAACATATTATACCACTAATCGAAATGGTTTTTCCACACATAATCAACTAACCCACTAAAGTTGTCTTATGTTTCCAGTCCTCAACTTTAATGAACTTTGAGCTGAAATTCAAAACTAATGCATCATCTTTTCTTATGCTTAGGATGACATTATAAGTGAGATTGGTGCAAAATCCAAAGTACTAATTTTTCTTCCCGAATTTTTTCGATCGTTCTGTTAGGCAGTATTATTATTGTAACCATAATGAACTGCGTTTTTTAACATCTTCTCGCTATTCTTCTTTAATATCAGTCGACTATTATTTAGCGATTAACAAAAAGTCAAAGAACTCTTTAAACATTTTAAACACGTAGCATTTGTTAAGTGATCGGTACTCCGAACCGCAAAGTAGAAATGTATATATTTCAGAATTTTACACCATCAGTACTAAGATGAATTTTACAGAACCCAAAATCAATCCGATTATTTACTTTTGCAAACATGTAGTGCCAGTAAAAAAACCTCTCCAGTACTAATATTACGTTTCAGGTTCTGAAACCGGTTTTCTACATATTGCAAAAGTATCGAATCAGACAAGATCGAGTGCTTTAAAATCCAAAAGTTCATATACAATTGTTCAATGCTTACAAGCAGTAGTACCGAAATGTGTTATCCCGAATACATATTTTATACACTGCAAGCATTTAGAAGTAAGCCCATGGGATTGCATTAAGATCCAAATACAAACATCGTATTTTCCAGCACTTTAAATCAGTGACATCGTTATCGATTGGTCAGGATCTAGAGTGGAAACATATTTTAATTATTCCAATATAAGATATTAATTTAAATTGAAATAATACCAACTAAATTTTACTTCTAGATCCCTGCTTTATTGATAGCTCAGAGACTGCAGTCTTCTTTTTTAACTCCGCAGCAGCAGTCATATTTTTGTATTCATTGTATTTTGAGATATTTTCAATAGTTAATGGTTTCTTTCTTGTACTTGGTTCCAATTCTTTAATTGACAAGTAGCTACCGTCAGCAAATGGCCTACATTTCCAAATGCTAATCATCGATTTGAAACACTTACGAAAATCGAAATCGCACAAACCAGGAGAATACTGAGCATAGTCAGGTTGATAAATATGCAGACCATGGCCGGTGTTTATTAAATATCCATTACTTAGCAAGATTTTGGCGTCTTTCAAATTATCTTCGAAACGATAACTGAAATCAATATTTTTCCTCTCCATGTCCAAGCAAACTTGGTTCAATATATTTAATTGTGTTGTTGGTAGTTCGCCATTTTTATTTGTAACCAAGCGAATGCAACTAACATTTGCGCAATTTTTCAATATCATCTCGAAGAAATTAATCAAATTTTTTATATGACAACCCTTACTAAGTTCTGGTTCAAAGATAAGAATATCTTTGACAGCACCAGTTAAATAACGACCAAATAAGTTTTGATAACTATACCCGACTTCATCCTCTTTTATAAAAATTTGATCAACCATTTTACTTTGTGTAATATGCCCATGCAATTGATCACTCAGATTTTCCATATATCCCTCAAAGTGTTTCAAATGAAAAGTCCACCTCTTAAGTAATTCACCTTTGAGTGGATGTCTTTTATCATCAAGAATGGCACGTAACTTCTCTGTTGCTTGTTTATAGAGATCGTAGGCTTCCAAAACACAACCACTAAATTGACGATTTAATCCTTTGCGAAAGAGATCTTTGATTTGCGAAAGAACTTCTTTTAACTGTGAATTTCTTGTAATTTTTGTTTCACTACCCAATATAGACATTTTCTATTGATAAATTTAATACGGTGGATGGACTGAAATTTTGAAAAATTTTTATGGAATAATTTTGCCAAAAAATTACAAACAAAGAAATGAAACGGAAATTGTTGATATACCAAATAATTATGTTGAAATTTTATCTTAATTTTTATGTCATCAATTCAGAATATTATAAAATATTTTTCTATAATATTCTTGACATACTAGATCAGGTTAGATTACCATAACCTGACTAGTCGTAAGCCACACATAGACGTTTTAGTTCGTAATTATCTATCGTGTAGATCTAACAAATGTAAATTTGTAGTAAGCATCATATAAAATATCAACGCTTTGCGAATCTTGGAATAACTTGAAACTTCGTTCCTGAGACATTCACTTAATTGGCAAACTGTTAAACCCCCCAACAATTTTAATCGGGTCCCTGATAAGACGGGACATTAATATAAACAGAGATGTTCTAAAGTCTCTTGTGTTCCGAGGTCTTTTTATTTTCTACATTCAACACTATTGACAATTTCTATCTTAGTTATATGCATATGCCGCTAACAAACAGGGGTCTGTGGGGTCACCAATAATAATTCTGCAAACTTTCGTGTTTGCACTTATACAATTCGAGTGCACTTTTCTTTATTTCACTTCAGACAGTGAAAGGAAACATATGAATCTGTCGTTAAATCTGTTCTCCCTCACCATGAAGAAGAATCAGAGGTTAGATCTCCCCCTAATTATTAACCAAAAAAATATTTCGTGATGTATAAATTCTTGACATAGACCTTGCTACGTTACTGAATTACCGTCAATTTCGTTATATGTTTCCTAAAAAGACTTCTCAAGTAATTCAAATGCATGTGAATACGTTTCTTGTCACTTTCTTCTGCTTCTTCATACTTCATTAAAATCGTTGTACAGATTTTTAGGAAGGCTTAGAGTTTTTATTTCCAGCTAGCTGAGAAGCACTAAAAATCACGGTACATAATTCAAACCCACTACAAACATCTATTAAAAAAACATACTGAATAAACTTTGGCTACCGTTACCAGCAACTAATAACGATCCAATTTCGGTGATCAGAAGGGTGAAGAATAAATTAAAAAGCTAAATATATGTGTATATTAAGGAAATTTATTTAATCTATTAACGACAATAAGGTTTGAGTTTACATTTTAATTTATTTAGTTTAAAGGACGAGACTCTTATTAGGAGTATAATCTTTTACGCCGCATCCTTTTTACTTGATTGCTGCTGCTTTCCAGTTTGCGTACAAACGTCTACAGATTGAATTTCCTTGATTTGTTATAGCCTCCAATCAAAACAAAAGAAGTAAAAAAAATTTATTTAAAAAAAATTTCCGTGGATGTATGATGAATATAACATAAATTATATATACACTATCTTGTGTAAACCAGTAGAACAGCTTGACTATAAGGACCTAAAAAAGTTCAAAACTTAACTTCTCAATTCGAAGTAATTCAAAAACCATGTTGCAGTAACTGTTGCGGACGCGATTCCGATTTTCCGGATGCAGCGCTATAACGGAGGATACTAGTAGAGTTAACTTTTTAAGCTGACGCTGCTACTCAGCTGATATATCAGCTGTATGCTGATGTAGCTAACATTTTAAATATCGAAATTTAAATTAAAAATATAAAAAAATATTAATTAATTCAATTATTCTACAGCTAGTTTATGATTTGGTTCTAATATAACACAGTAAGTGAATTTGTTAATGAACTTTCGCAGCAAATTAATAAATCCCCAAATTCGAACATGCAAATCAAGTAAGGCTTTGGGTCAGTTGGCCAATAAACACTGACTCTGAGCTTCAAATTTGGCAGCATACGAGTTCAACCCTTGGTACCCGTAATCTCAGAAATTATTTACAAATAATTAAATACAAGAAATAATTCCAAGACCACTAATGATGGGTGTTAGGCAATACACGAAAGAGCTGTATGGTCAGTCAAAAATTGATTTAATTAAAAAATAATAAAAAAAATTTTTTGTTGTTGCAATTTCACTACTGTTTGATAACATAAAAACCTTTCTATCAAAAATAATAATATATATTAAGAATTTAGTTTCTTACGTCAAAATTGTAAGTTAAAAAACCATTTAATATAAATTTATAATTGTTAACTTTTAACTTTTATTATACTAACAAAAATCACACATATTATCTAGCGCTAACTATGTGACACGTCTGTTGGTTATGTTCATTTAGAGATTTCCAAATTTAAAGCTCCATATCTCAAAAACTAAGCTATATTGGCATATAGCATTCTAAGAAAAACGATTCAAAGCAGTTATCTTTACTGAAATCCGCTGTTAATCGTGTTCGTAGAATTTAAATCATGTCCTGCCAAGATATCTACTAACAGGAGACATAAAATTATGATCGATGCTATATACTTTTATAGGCTAATAGAGCACAATGTAAGGAAAGTACCGGCCAAAAGATTGGCGCAGCAATTCTTCATCACTCCATTTGGCTAGAACTGGTTAAGAACCCTATGGCGAAAACAGGCAATATTTTTCAAACATAAATTTAAATAATATACAAATATTCTATACGAATCTTCAATGGACTCTATGAGCATACTTTTAGGCATGTTACTTGCTTTACTATAATGAATTTTTCTCAACTCAAAGCTTAACATAATTTTAGGCCAAAATAATAAAATAAATTATTTTGTTTCAAACTCCATACTCTGAGCTTAAACCTGCGCATTAAATTTAAAGCAAATTAATGTGAATTATTGAATTTCTTTTTACTACGGATTTAATATTTATATTATTAATAATATTTGTAGTAAAAAATTTTTGCCTTAATTAGCGAATTTTTTGTTGATTCCTCAATTGCTGCGTGCGAGCACGTACTGCGATATTAGCAGCTGAACAGCTACCCATTTCCTAGCCGAACAAAAGTTCTGAGAGATATCAACAAATATTTTTTTATTTATTATATATAATTTTTTTTAAATTAGCATTTTTATGCCAAATTGAAAATCTAATAAACAATTTAACGTGCTAAATTTATATGAAAATTTTTAATTTACATATTTTTTAAATTTAAATTATTTAAAATGCGTCAAGAGTAAATAATCGAATTACATTAAGGCAAATTAGTATGTGTTAATTGCCGGTGTAGTAGTTGTGGCAAATCTGATTTATTTTACATTTTCATTTATTTAATTAACTCATTAGGAAGCTATTGTAATGTAAATGTTCTAGCATTGACCTCCGAAACCAAAAAAATTGTTATGAAGTATCTGGAAACTATAGAATATTGCACGTCCAAAATCACGTGACTTAATAACTAAAAAACAATATAATTAGAAAATAAATTATTAATTAATTAGAAAACAAAAATTTAATTATGAACTGGATATTTTACAATTTTATTAAAATAGTAATATTATTATAATACTTTAAGGAACATATTTATCATATAATGTGATACATATATGACATCTTTATATCATGCTCTGAGGTCAATGATATCATAAATTATCGTATAAGTCCATTTATAAGTCAACAGCTGATAAATGGAAAATTATAACGCATACTTCCATACAATATATATCAAACTTCTTATCGAAGGGCATTTGTTTAAAGACCAATAAAATAAATCAGCAAAAACTTGAAATGAACGAGGCCTCAAAATCAACAATATGTTTATATGTGAATGGCTCAAGATCTTACAATGATCAGACAATTAAAGCAGGGTAGATCACAGTCTAAGAGACATTCAGATAACAAAATAAAGATTAATATATCTGACCAATTTAGCAAGTGACAGTAACTGCTCGTAATAGTTAAGCGGTATTCAAGTCGATGGACGTGTAATTAACGTAAACATGCTAGTCGCACATTATAGCTTATAGAATACAAGCTATAATACAAACATATAGGTATATGTTGTAGAATATAAGAAACATCATTCAAAATCACATCGAAGTACTTTAAGTACCTTTACTTCTAAAAAAGAAAAAATGCGCATAAACTTTCATCCTCAGGAAATGATTACATGAAATAAGAGAACACCCCCAAAATACTTAAGCCATGCCTTTGGAAACAGTTGAAAGACGACATCAAACGCAATTGTATAGATCGCTCTTTGGATTTATTTTTAAATATTAAGACCGACTCTTTTTCTTACGGCTGCATAACTTATAATAAGCCTACCAAATCATGCCGATTCAAAACGTTCAAAAAGCTTATGAAAGTACCTGGGCTCATCACATTTTCACATTAACATGGAAATCATCATATCGAGAACTTAGCAGAATTCATGTGCAATCTTATTAAGGCTCGCAAAAAGTTCACTCAAACTCCTACAGTCATGCCGATAATATCAATCTCAGAGACTGCGAAGGCTATATCTTTATAGGAAGTCATCGCACTTCGTGAATATAACAAAGTCCTTACCAGTACACAGCGGGGTGCTGTGCGGCTGACACAAACCAAATTTCAAAGAATACGCTTAAGAATAAAATTTCAAAGACTACGCTTAAGGATAAAATTCAAAGACTACGCTTAAGAATAAAATTTCGAAGTCTACGCTTAAGGATAAAATTTTAAAGGTTGCCCATAACTATATTTAAAACTTTATTATGCCATATTTTAACTAAATGTCTTATCAACTAGGGTAAGTACATAATGAAAAATATAGTGCAATTTAAATAGATTACCCACAGTGACAGGATCTAATGCAGTGATTGGAAAATTACACCAGAAAAGTCATTTAAAGTGGTCGTTCCTGATATTATAGTCCCTACATATTTTTAATAACTCTCTCTCACTCTCTCTCTCTTACAAAAGCGCGATGGCCAACTTACATACTATGAGTCCTGATCTGATATGCTGGTTACATATATAAGAACTTCAAATATTTATACATTATTTATGCATTATCGTTCTATGTGAATATAACATACTATAAATAAATAAATTAACAAAAAATTATAACAAATTATAAAACAGTTAGTAAATCGCTAAGAAATTATAGATCAACTTCAATATTCTTACATACTATATCCATAAAGCTAACCATAAGAAATCTCGATGTCTGTATGACTTATAAATTAAATAAAAAAAATTTAATAGATCATGTTTCTATCTAAAAATTGGTATTCTTTCTGCTTAATGAAACGCTAATTAGTGTCCACGTTTACTCAATAGTATCTCTCATCACTTGGTTGATCCCCTGCAATAAGAACTCCGTTAAATTATAATAATAAATAATACCGATGATTTTATGAAAGTATACTTGGAATTAATATTAAAACAGACTTTTTAAAGCATGCAGTGATGTTTAAATAATAGAATAATATTTTTTTTCCTATTTCATAATAATAATATTAAACTTTGTAAAAGATTTTTCCAGTGACACTAATGAAATAAAAATTGTGAGAATGGTATGATTTAAAAGGTTTTGATATTTTTATTTTAAAAGAATTAAATCTACTTTATAACAAATAACTTATTTTGACAACTTATTTAATTAATATGTACATTTTTTTAGTTAACAATATTTAACAAATACCTATTATTTATGATTTTATTGAATATAACTCCTTCTTCTATAAATACTATCATGTCATCATTTCGTCCTATTCATGATGGTGGTTCGTTGACCTCACTGTCCTTTCCTTTCTTTAATGATTAATCATTAATCATTAAGTCTTTAATGACTATGAATTGTCTATTTCATCAATACATCTGCTTTATATTTTTCTCATTTTTCAAAGTCATTTAGATATCACAGATTCATCATATACTCTCGTTGCCAATGTTATCAATTCTGCTTCAACAGTGAAAGTCAGAAGCGTTAACACCTACCTCAGTTAAAATCAGACTGAATTACATCCGTATTGTATTTGCCGGTTTTATGGTGCAGCATATAATCATAGATATTATTTTTCCAAAAACATAATATAACATGTACTATATAATATACCTATAACAATATCTTAATTAAATATTATTCATTTAATATGATGTATTAAATGAATAATTTCTTTATTGAGCTAACATGAAGATTCTCATAAAAGTACTTGGGTATTATAATTTTTTGATTTAAAAAAGCACTTTTGTGAGAACTTAATGTGAAATATGTTATTTTATCTTATTAACTTAAAAATATGCGAAGCCTAAGTTGCTAGGTTTTCAAAAAACCTTTCTACTTCAGCACAAAAGATTTCTTTTGGACGCTAAGTCCCTTACTATACATTAACTGGGTATCAATTATTATCTCTTATGTTGAAATATAATAAAAAATCTATATATTATATTTTTTATTTCTATACTATTAGTTCTAATTCAATAATATTTAATATAACCGGCTATAAATGATTTCCTTTCATGTTTTAGTATAAGTAAAAAAATGTATATATTGTTCTATTTTAATATAAAATAAATGTATTTATTTTTTGTTTTACCGATTTTGGTTACATTAATTGTTTCTTTTTAAATGTATAAAATTTTTTTATGTATGTATATGTAAATACAGGTAGACATGTTTCACTTATAAATTAATTTTTTTGACATCTAATATAAAGGCAGGCACGTGTTTGCTTTGCAGACTTATATAAATAATCTTAAAAATATAAATATTTAAAAATTATATCTAAAAATCACTTTGTACTCTTACAAATACAATCACGTGAACACATAAATTGTTCTATGTTCCCCAGTTCTATGATCCCCCCAGTGCTATGCTTTTGTCACTTTTGATGACTTTTGAGCAGTCATGCTCTTCCATACAAATTTAACCAAAGAAATTTGGTACGAAGAGCTTCTTCTTCTTGGCACGTGTATGCTTGTATTTGACAACAGGAGTGTATTGCAGACTGTTCCGTGTTCTATCCTGACGCCGCTCAGCTGCGCGTTTTGCAGCTTCCGGCACATATGCAACTGGCACCTCATCGACATAGTCGTCGTCCACATAGTAGTAACCACGTCGTAAGCGTGTTAAGCGACTATCAATCTTACTTGAGGTATAGGCTTTATCAAGGCGTTGAACGTTGGATGCTGCAGGTAAGATCACAGTATCTGAAGATGCTGGCTTTGCCTCGATGTGTAGATATTTGATGCTGATCAATGTAAATAAATACATCCAAAACAGGAAATGCTGCAAGTAAAATAAAATACTATAATTAAGTAATGCTTATGCATATATGTAAATATTTATCAAACTATAGCACGAGTATATAAGCACTTAATGGCATAAATATGTTAATTTTTAATACAAATCGTTTGAATGGAACTCCAAAGAATTTGCTAGATTCAAGCGATTTGAGATAAATTTTATGATGAATGCGTTCAACTTACCATTTGCGTCATTTTGTTAGTTGATGCACGATTGACTTTTCTGTTATTTAATCAAAATTTAAATTTATTAAAATTTTGTAAAATAATCCAATGAAGTTCTTGTAGTTATATTCTTCTATATATATAGTTTGTTTAATCCTTTAAATCCTTTTTAAAAACACTTTTGTGGTTTTGGTTTTTGTGACTAATTTTAATCCAATTCTTTCTCACTTTGCGTTGTTAATTCTCTTATAGACAGTTTGATTCTGTTTGGTAAACTCCGAATTTCTCTCCCTTATATACTACCGGAATATTTCATTTATTCGCACCCATTTGCGAAATTATAATGTATATATATTTATTAAGATATGTGCGTGCACAAATTCGAGCCAATAAAAAATTTAAAAATGAAAAGCATTTTTGTTTTTATTTACAAATACAAGATACTAGATACAATATATCGTCATAGTTAATAATACAAATTCGTGTGTAACGTGTTGATGAATCTTGTCCAACTCATAAAATTTTTTTTAACATTTAATTAAATTAATAATTAATTTGTTGAACTGGAATACCGTTTGCAAATGTACGATTAGTTTAAACTAATATAAACAAAGTCTATATACATACACATACAAATATGTAATAAGTAACAACGTCTAATAATGTTAAGGTAACTTCCGTTACAGAAACCTAGATTAATTTAATTAAACTAGTTAAAATTAATAACTCTAATAACATATATTTATGCTAGTTATAGTGAATTGATTTTTAAGCTCCATATTGACGAAAGAAACCAAAGTTTTAATATAAGATATTGTTTTCAATAGAGAGGCATTTTGAACAGTAGTAAATAACAACAACAAAATTTTATTATTTAATTTCTGATAATCATAAAATTAAGATAATCTAATTTTGACTTAAGCAACAACAACTACTTCTCCGAACATGCAGAAACAAAGGGAAATATTTTCAAAAATCGAGGAGCACTTTTTAAAGTTCAACTACGCTCCCAAACGAACTCTTCAGATCCGAGATGCACACTATGCAATATTGGAGAAAAGAAGGATGTTAGTTTGTTATATCGGAATCATAAAGAATTTCTGTCACTAGACCAAATTAAGAACTCTTCTCTAGATTTAGTTCTAGACTTTATTCACAAAGCTTTAACGGGCTTTGTTTAATCAATAGTGACACTGGTACAATAGGACTCTTCTGACTGCAGTACCGGCTGTTGAGCAAGTTTCACGTCTACTCTTCAATAATAAAATAATAGTTATATCGGTAAACAAACGTTAGACCAAAACGAGTCAATAAAGCTGCTGAATGGTGAAAATTGGTATATCTTATCGATTTATATGAAAATGAGAACTATTTATAGAGAAAATATTATATTAGAAGCATTTTAACAACCATAGGTTGAAGCTTTCAATGTTCCATCTATATCAGCAAATAGATTGCAATAAAGAATAATCAATAAGAACGTATTTAAATTTCCGAGTGACGGCGAAAGCCATAATCATATAATAAATAATAAAAAACTATTTATGTGAATTTAGTTAGGTTATATTTATTTATAGTTAATGTATAAAGTAAAATTTGTAAATTTAAATAATCTGTATATAATAAAAGAAAATTCTGCTACTACTATTACCAGCGATTTAGCCAATTCTTCACATATTTTTCACAGATTTATTTTATCGAAGCATTTAAATCGAAAACAAAGTACCTTTCATCGTCAAATACATCTTCCCTATATCTTAAGCTCTACGTTACTGTTAAACCTTTAAAAGAATTTGTCTATCATGATATCAGTACTAACGTGAATCTCGAGATCAACTGAAAATTTACTTATATATAAAAAATTATCAATAAGTACTACTATGGGCTCAGTGGGAAACTGAGACCATAAACAAAACTTATTCTCAAACAGTGGCTCATGTTATCAGTCCACTTATATGGTGAAAAAATGTGAACCATAAATATCAACAATAAACGATCCATTAGAGTTTTTCATTCAGAAATTGTACATAAAATTTTAAGTTCTATCCACGTTAATATTGATCATCTGCAAAAACTGTACTATTATATTTAATTATGTTTACTCATATCATGTAATAATAAAAATAATAATAATAATAATAAAAATAACTTCACACACTTGGCAAGTTTAATAAATACTAAAATTTCTATTAATATTAATATTTGTTTATTTATTTTTTGTTTAGAACAAAAACTTTTTAAAATTTAATTAATATTTCACAAAACTACAATTTTGTATTCAATTTTAGGTATTCGAGTTAAAAATAGTTTGTATTAATAATACATATTTTAAAAAATATATAACTAATAAAATTTAATTTTGTTTAATTTCGTGATAAAATAATTTAGTTTAGATTCAACATAAAATAGAAATTAATGTTAATTTTAATAAACAGAAGTAAAATGAAATAAAAAACTTTTTTTTTTTTAAAAAATGTTTATGCCTATTTATGATATAAGATTTATGTCATATGATTTAAAAATTTCACATGGTTTTGTGACACCCACGCTCCCACATAGCAGACTTCTTTAAGTGTTAATATTACATAAGATATACTTTAAAATATATACGATTTTATAAATTAGATGCTATCTAGTGAGGTTCGATTTGAAGTTAAATCCCATTTCATATACCTAGACCGCCAACAACGGATTCATTGTGTTATCCCAGGATTTTTATTATGAGATGTCCTGTCTAAGGCTGGTTTCTATGATGCATGTATTCCTTATTCTAAACCCATTTTGAGCATCTTATCCAATTAATTTTTTTTTAAAATTTCGTAAGGATTCCTATATCAGTTTTTAATAATACTCCAAAGTTCTTGAGGAAAAATTTTCCAACAATTATATAAGCATAAAATGTGGAAGCTTGATAATTCTTCCTCCTTTTCTTGACAGAACTATCTTAGGATTTTTATTAAGGGATGAATTCTTCATAGTGATTTGGTTTTTCATATATAAAAAAAATTTTTATAATACATATATTCCTATCTATATCACTTTTACCAATTCAAATTTTTTGAGAATTTTATGTTTCCGATATCATATGTAATAATTTTTCAGAAAGGTTTCTCAGGAATTATAGCTCTCCTGCTTGCTAGGATTGGGCAACTGCATGAATCATGAAAGCTTGACTGATTCTAGCCGATTGAAAAACAGATTATGTTACTGATTAATTTTATTATTCCAGTTTTAGTTGGGTCTATTAACGGCTAGAGCTGTTCAGTCTTTTGCACAACTGATCTCATTTTGCCGCCAAGTTTGTGTTTGTTTGAGTAAAAATCCGTATATCCGTATATATTTACTGTTCATTATTGTATATCTTTTTATTATCCAAATGACAGAAATATTATTGTGCCTATTGATTTAGTTCAGATATGCTATATTAATTGCATGGTATTCACTTTGACATGTGCTACTTCGCTATAAGTCAAAAATATTATATCAGTTTCTGTTACTGGCTCCTCGAGGAGATATGCAGATCTGAGGTCAATTATTAGTCTTAGTCTGGTAAAGTGATAAACAATAATCCAGTCAAGGCGTAAAATGGGGTTTTGAAGATACTTCGCAGTTAATATAGAGTAAAAGTGCTCAAGTCAAAAATATTATATCAGTTTCTGTTACAGACTCCTCGAGGAGGTATGCAGATCTGAGGTCAATTATTACTTAGTCTGATAAAGTGATAAACAATAATCCAGTCAAGGCGTAAAGTGGGGTTTTGAAGATACTTCGCAGTTAATAGAGAGTAAAAGTGCTCAAGTGCAGTGGCTTCAACAGAATAAATAAATAAATATATAAGATATTTAATAATATATATAGTATATTAGTGTCGACCTTGAGCCCTTTCACTTCCGCTGAGAATGCATTTGTAAAGCTAAGTATACTCCATTTCTAAGTAAATTCCAAAGCAACCTTTATCATATAGCTTGAACCGTTGAATTAATATTTAAATTAGTATAATTAATGGAATTAATAATTTAATATTTAATATCTTTTTCAACTTAGAAACATAATACGAGTAAAGTTGCTAATAATTTTACAAATGATCTTCTTATACCTACTCGTATATTCGATTCACAGAATAAAAAAACTATATATAAAATATATTTTCACCTGTTTTTATTTTAAGACTTATATGTACATATAAATGTATTTCAATATTTTTTTTATTGCTTTTTTTATATTCTTTTATTATAATTTCGTGTTTAAACAATTTAATTTTTTTATTTCTTTGAGGCTTACGTGCGGAATCCTGTTTCAAAATGTGTACAAAATTCAAATGACGTTTAATAGCAAGTCCCGACTTTTTTAATATTAATATAAAAATATTTATAAACACTTTTGTAAAAAATAATAATAATAATATAAACATATATTTGTTTATAGTTTTATATATGGTATATGTGTGCATATTTCGATTTAACGGTGAAAAAATATAATTACAAACTGGTATTTTAGACTGAAATTAAGCATTCTTAAGTCATTAATGTGGATTGTTTATTTATTGTTGGATATTAATTAAATTATCTTAATTGATTAATTTACACATATGTAATTATTACAATTAATATATTTTAAATAATTAAGGATGTATTGTTTTTGTAAAAGATTTTGTAAAAGTAAAAATAGTTTATATATCACGACTATCTCTGATGATCGGAATATTAGGATAAACAATTTAATTGAAAAATAACTTTATAGTGTTTTGATTATATTTTATTTATACATAAATTAATTTTACAAAAATAAAATTTATAACATAACAACATCATAAATTGTAAAAAATTGAAACCACGTCACAAATTTGTGTCGTTAATTTAACAAAAATTAAAGCCTATCAAAATTAATGTACGCTGATACAAGAGTTCTTAATTTATTTATTTATTTTATTACATGATACTATATGGAAGATAAGGTTAGGTTAATGTTGCTGCGCTATAAGCCACTGATATACCAATTTTCGTGAATTTATGAAGTGCTTAAGATTCTACTGAGACATAACTACCAATTAATTCTTCAAGAATTCTTAAAACCTATTTTTAGATAAGAACTTAGTGCGATCTGAATCCCACAGGAATTTCTCACAAGATCTTGTAATAGAGATCTAAAATTAGTAAACATATTCTGACGAAAATTAAGCTTATAATTAATAAATTTATGTTTTAAACTTTACAAAATTGTTTATATACTTAATATACGAGGATTTTAAT